CGGAGGGCTAGGTGGATGGCCCTGAGTTCCAGCCAACTGATGTTGTGTCTCAAGTCTGCGCTTGACCAACGGCCCTGCGCAAACTGAGACTGTAAATGGGCACCCCAGCCAAAGAGGCTGGCATCCGTCGTGATGGTAAGACAGTCCGGCTCCTTGAAAGGTGACCCCTTGGTCACCGCTTGCGAGAACCACCAGCGTAGGGACCTCCGGGCGTGCAATGGGAGCTTCACCCGTCGGTTGGATGCGCTGACGTTCAATCGCTGGAACGGTAAAAGGAACCATTGGAGTTCCCGTAAGGGGAGCCTGGCCCAGGGGACAATGGCTATGCAGGAGACCATCTTCCCTAAGAGTTGGGACAACAAGACCAACATCACTACCCGTTCTCGGTACACCCTGCGAGCTAGGTCCCTGATGCTGTCCACCCGCTCCTGGGAGAGATAGACCACGCAGTTTGCGGTGTCTATGATGGCTCCCAGGTGCAGAAGCCTGGATGAGGGAACCGTCTGGCTTTTCTGGAAGTTCACCAAGAACCCGTGCTGTTGAAGGACCTGAATAGTTAGGCCGAGGTCTGTCTGAGCCGCCCGGAAGGAGGGCGCCTGAATCAGAATGTCGTCCAGGTAACACTGGATGCGTACCGGTACCTTCCGGAGGTGGGCGGCCCGCACAGCCAGGATCTTGGTGAACACCCTGGGTGCCGAGGAGAGGCTGAATGGAAGAGCCTTGTACTGGAAATGCTGACTCTTGTAACAGAACCTGAGGAACCGCCTGTGGTCTGGAAGGATGGGGATGTGGAGGTACGCTTCTGAGAGGTCTATCGACGCTAGGAAGTCTCCCTGTCTGATGCCTCCCAGGATGGATTGAAGCGATTGCATTTTGAATTTTTTGTATGCAATGTAATGATTCAGGCTTTTCAAGTCTAGAATCGCCCTCCATCCCCCCGAGGTTTTTGGAACCACGAAGAGGATGGAGTAGAATCCCCCTCCTTCGTGACCTGACGGTACCGGTTCTATGGCCTGAATGTCTATGAGATGACAAATGGCCTCCTGCATAAGTCCCCGCTTGATTGGATTCCGAGATGTGGGGCAGGAGATGAAGTGACTCGGCGGAATCGCCAGGAACTCTAGGGACAGACCTTGTTGAATTGTTTGCAATACCCATTTGTCCGTGGTGGTGAGCTCCCACCGATGGAAAAAATGGGACAGCCTGCCTCCTATGGGAAGGGAGATTTGAGAGTCACTTGGACTTCTTAAAGGGACGTCCCGTACCCCGAAATGGCCGCCTATTCTGGGGCTGTTGCCTGGGCCGAAATCCTGTCCTGTCATAGGGGCGGTCATATGTGCGATCCTGCCTAGTTGTGAAAGGTCGAAATGGCTGGGCAGCAGCCGAGCCTGAATTTTGCCGAAAGGGCTGCCTCCTGGAATAAGGAGTGGGGCGCTTGTCGGATCGCTTGGTGACGTGAGCCATGACTTTTCTCTTATCCTTGTTTTCCACAAGGAAAGGGTTCAGTGCTTCGCCAAATAGATGGGACCCCTGATATGGAGCGGATGCCAGGCGCCATTTGGCCTTGGCATCGGCCGGCCAATGTTTGAGCCAGAGCATCCTCCTGGCCGAAACGTTGGAAGCCAAGGCTCGTGAGGCAAAATTAGCCGACTGTAGAGTCGCGTCTGATGCGTACTCCGTAGCGGCCACCATTTTGCTCAAGTCCTGATGAGTCCTAACGTCCTCAGGAGGGACTCTGGCATGCAGCTGCTGAAGCCATAAGAGAGTGGTTCGGACAAAAAAGGACACGCACGTGGCCATCTTGATGGCCCATGCGGTTGACTGATGGGTCTTGTGAAAGGTTAGGTCGCATTTCCTATCGTCAGCCTTAAGGGCCTCCGCCAAGTCCCCAGAGACTGCCGTCTGAGACACCAGAAGAGTCCAGGCTTCATCTATCTGAGGTACCTCCAAGGCATCAGTTAGATCCTTGGAGGTGTGATATAGCTTCTTTTCCGACCCACTAATGGAGAGGGAGGCAGAAGGGGAAGACCACTGCTTCTTTATCCCCGTAAGGAATATGTGAGGACAGGGCACATGATGCTGCGTTGTTTCAGTCGCAAAAAATATGGGGTCCGGACTCGCCTCGGCGGTAGCCTGCGGCTGCGGAAACTGATCGGACCCTATATTGGACGTGGCCATTGCCTTGCGAAGTAAGGAGAGAAACAAGGCTTGATTAAAAAGGCCACCTGAGGAGAGTTCCAGAGGCAGTACCTCATCCTCTGACCAGTCGAGTTCCAGTGGCTCCCCTCCCATGTGGGCTGAATAGCCACTAAGAGAGGAACGGTCAGGAGACGGAGGGTCCTGAATCAAGAGGTCCTCTGCTGGCAGAGTAGGAGGGGGCATGGCTGGAGTAGGGCCCCCCTGCCCAGAACGAGCCGCAAGCGCCCGATCAACGACCTTAGAAAGCAGAGCTTCCAGACGGCCGTCTGAAAATAAGTGTCCTAACTCTGGAACCCTGAGCCCTGCTGCTGTAGGGGTGAATGTAGCCTCCGGAACCGAGCTATAGGAAGGCGGGCCAGTACACGTGTGGTGGATTGTCGGAGCAACAGGGTCGGCAGTCAAGGACCACATCCCCTGAGCCGACGTGGATGGACCCAAGGGAAGGTCGAATTCTGGGGCAACCAATTGATCCCTCTCATGCCTGGCCTGTTCTTGTGCCCTGGTGAATTCTTTTTCCAGAGCCTGGTGCCTACGGCTGGCCTGCTTCTCCGCCAACTTTGATGTCTTCTTCAGAGTGGCTTTCGCCTTACTTTTAAGCTTGCCCACTGCCTCCTGTCCGGAGGATTTGTGCCGGCCGTGAGCGGATGACGGGGACGCGGTGCCCAGGAGCCGAGGCGCCGTGGAATCCTCCATCACTGATAGAGCTATCTCAGGAAACCTGAGGGGGAGCTCTGGCAAGCAAGCTGATGGCGGGAAGATGTTCAGAGCTAGTATCAAGTACTGCTCCCCTGACCACCTGACCTGACAAAAATCTCTCTGGGTTTAGGTCACGGTCACCAGAAGACCGAAGGCACGTTAGGGGCCTGCAAAGGGTCCGCCCGGATGCCTTAGGTGGCCAGTCAGGGTGCACCAGATATCCAATGAGGGCGTAAGGGCCTGAAATTGAGGCCTGGCACAGGCAATGTAATCAAAAGGCGGAGTCCTGAATCAAAATGGTGGTCTGAGAATTTGAGTATGGTAATTTTATGCTGAAAACTAATACCTTGAATGGCAGGGAAAGGAAGTCCTGTGAAGGACCCTGTGGTAGACCTGGCCTGTATCAGCAATGGGAAAACAGCTGAAACTAATACCCTGAATGGCAGGGAAAGGAAGTCCTGTGAAGGACCCTGTGGTAGACCTGGCCTGTATCAGCAATGGGAAAACAACTGCTGCCCCACCCCTGGCCGGGTGATGAGGGCAACCAGGCCTTTGCCGCGTGGCGCCTTTAAAATGGCAGCCGCAGCTGACCGTAGTAAGGCCAACGGACTGGTGTTGTGCCAACTTTACTTGCCCCCAAGAACAAACGACTATCCAATTTTCTCAATCGTTGGGGAATTCTTTCCCCTGTCTGAGGAGAAGTTTCCCTGCTCGAGGCTTCCCCCGCCGCTCAAAATGGCGGCCGCGACTCAAAATGGCGGCCGCGACTTTCTGCCGATGCTAAAAAACGGCCCAGAGGTATTCTGATCAACTGGGAAGGCAATTAAACGAGAATCACCCAAAAACGCTGGGGAGTTTGCTTCCCAGCCGAGTAGAAAGCTTCCCTGTGTGCCAATATGTCGGCAGCTGCCGAAAATGGCGGCCGCGACTTTCGGCAGTTGGCAGCGTCCCTGAGGGGCGAAAATTACGAAGGGAAGTTGAAAAGAGCCGAGCAGTGGTGTTAGCCTCGCGCCAGGAGAAAAAACGGGGAAATCGGAAGGATTGCTCTCCTCCCCCCCCCAGATCCCTGGAGAAAGAAAATACGACGGGGATATTATCCCCCCCACACACCTCCCTCAGAAAAGCCTCAAATCGGCCGATTTGAGGCCCCGCTGGTCCCAGCTGGCTAAAGGAGGGTTGCTGGGGGAATGAAATTTGCTGGGGGAATGAAATTTGGAAGGGGATCTATGAGAATCCAACGATGGGTCTCTGACCTGCAATGTCTAAAATCCTAATCCTGAGAGCCAAACCTTGAGACGTCTGCAAGAGCTTGAGACCAAGATAAGACTGGGTCTCACAGCAACAGGGGGCGTGTCAAAGTTTGGCTACTTGGTCTCAGGAGCAGGCATCCAATGAAAACCCACCGGTGGATTCTCCATCTCCTGTACTGAAGAAAGTGTTTTTATAGAGCAGAAAAAGTACACCTCCTAGTTTTCATAAGATGAGACTTATGGGGCCCAGAGTATACCAATCTTGCTGGATCTTTAGGATGGCATAATTGTACCAAGAAGCCATTTGTAACCAATGTGGCATATGCAATCACAGATGGCATGGCCGTTTTGGGATATACTCATACTTACTCATACTACTAAATTCTGGAAAGGCTTTAGCTTCTGGTCAGCTCCCTGTATGTTGCAACAATCCAAACAAGAGTTATCCAAGGCAGGGGTCCCCAATCCCTGGTCTGTGGACTAGTACCGGGCTATGGCATGCCAGCAACCGGTCCACACAAACAAGCAAAGCCCCATCCACGGGATGCAGGCAGCACACAAAACCACGTTCCTTCCGGGCCGCAGAAAAACTTCTCCACGGAACCGGTCCCTGGTTCCCCAAAGGTTGGTGACCTCTGATCCAAGGTATCAGTAATGATGAGTAGCACCCCGATCCCCTAATCCAGAAACAACTGCAGTTGGTACACAGGATGAAGGATCTTCCAAAAAAGAGCAAGCCCATGTTCTTCAAGGAGTCGAAAGTCTTAGTAGGACCCCCAAATTGTGCAAAGAGCCTAGGAGAATATTTGGCCTTCCAAGAACCATATATAATTTTCATGTATTAAAGCTATATAAATCTATATAATAAATCTCTATAGAAAACCTATATAGAAAATCTGTTACCAGTTGGGAGCACCTTTGCTAAAAACACTATTTTACATAAAGGTTTACCACTACAGGCAGTCCTTGACTTACAATTAAGACCATAATGTCAGTTGCTATGCAAGATGCTCATTAGGTGAGTTACGCCTGATTTTACGATCTCTTTTGCCATGGTTGTTAAGTGAATCATGCAGTCATGAGGCGAATCCCGCTTCCTTCAAAATTTCATCATTTGACTGGAGAAACGCTGCGTAAGTGCAAGAACAGGTTATAAATCACTTTTTTCAGTGCTGGCATAACTTGAAACAGTCCTTAAATGAATGGCTGTAAGTCAAGGACTACCTACATCTTAGTATTGTATTTTCTAATTTGAGCCACCATCTATTTTGACCTTCCATTATTAAAGGCACCATGAGTTTAAGCTGAACCACTTTAAGGTACAATCTGAATTTTGGAACACCCCATCCTCCTTCATAATGATACATAGCAAACTCCTCTTGGAGGCCATTTTGAACCTATACACAAGGCTTCCCCTTAGTTATTGCCAATCCAAGCAACAGATTAGCTTTCCCACTGATTATTTAAGACAAAAGAATACTGTCTTCTCATTCCCGCTTCTGGTCATCTTTGCCCTTCCTCAGGGCCCCCATTGCTTTCCCAGCCACAAAGAAACTCAAAGCCCCCACATGAACACAATAATACACTGAGTTCCAATAGCGAATAGTTTCCTCAAAGCTACGCAAGAGGAAACCCACACACACATAGTCATAAGCCCTCATCTTCAGGAACCAGTGTGTGCAGTTAACACAAGCACGGCTAGAGGGAGAGAGATGCCTCAACAACCCATCCTCCATGGCCCCCTCAGCTGCTAGGCACAATGGGATGGTATAGAAACTGAGGTGATAGCCGGGGCGGAGTCCATGCCAGTAGGCCGAGATAGCCATAGTCCAGGCAGACCTAGGAAGAAAAAGGCCTCGTCAATCCTACAATCTTTTTCTCATGCCAATTCAAGCATCAATTTATCTCAGAATCCTTCCAATGTCCCACGATCATTTCTAACACTGTCATGGCTGTTGTTAAATCTAGCTCAGCCTTTCCCAACTTACAAAACTATTGGACTTCATCACCTAGAAGCCTCCAGTCAACGCTCCAAAATTCTTCAGGTTGACTTAAAGATATGGGGATTGAAAATGAACCTAAGACAGGAGAAGGAGTGGCAGACCCTGTGGGAGGAGTCAAAAGAGGAATTAACCTAGACTCTCTACATTCCCACAAGCAGACTAAGTCCAACTCAGCTTGAACTCGTTAACCCTTATCTAGCATCAAAATAGTGCTAATTGTTAGTGGATTAGATTGCTGTGCAAGCATGAGCACTAAATCAGGTTAACTGAAATTTAACATGTAGCCCTGTCTTTCCTGTCTGACACCTGTCTAGAAAACACAAGGTTGGGAGATGATTATTTATGCAACTTTCATTCAAGCTCAAAGTGCTTTGTGGGTTCTCTTAGGCCCAATTTGGTTTTCTGATTTCCTCTTTTTTCCAGTTATGGGTTGCTGCTTATGTCCCATCCCAAATTTATTTAATTACCCACATTTTCCATGCATGGTCCATACCGTATTAACCAGTGCCCTCTACTTTATAATCATCTCTGTCAACTACCTCATTTTCCATCCCCTTAATTTAAAACTGGTTTCAACTCTGAAACCAATCTTCATGTTTTTGTGCTACATATTTATTGCTGCTTCCTGCAATTCTCATTTGCATATTCATATCAGACCCAATTAGTCCCACAATCCTGCATCTCTTTTCCCCTTTCAGATCTGCATCACTGAACAGCCTTCCTTGCTTGCCTTGAAAACAACCAATCACTGTCTAGAACATTGTTTCTCAAACTTGGCAACTTTAAGATATGTGGACTTCAACTCTCACAATGGGAGTTGCTAGCTGGGGAATTGTGGGAGTTGAAGTCCACACGTGTTAAAGGTGTCAAATCTGAGAAATACTGGTCTAGAATGATCTTTTTCATCTTCTCCATAAAACAGTCTCACATCAACCCAGTTTACATCATACCTCACTTCCAGATCTTGCTTGCCCTAAGTGTTCTTTTATTTTAATCCAATTTCACAGGACTCACCTTATGACATAGGGGAAAGAAGCCGTGTTTTTGTAGGTGTATTGGTATAGCCACCATTGGACAGTCATGTTCCAACAGCGAATGCCATCCTTCACCTTGATACAAAATTCTGTACCATATGGATCAATGTTTCTGATTGTCTGATAATCATAGGCAACACTGGATGCTTTCCCATCAGCTGATCTGCTTGTAAAAAAAAGAGAAAGAAAATATTTCACATGTTTCACCTCAGGAATTGACTGGAGGTGGTATGCAATCCACACTGGACTGATCAGACTCTCTGAAATGTTCAGTTAGCAAATAAATAAAAAAAAATTGTCACTTGATTTGAATAGCTCACCTTCTGGATGGGAAAAGGGTACAGACCTCTATATAAATACCTACAGGCTTGCAGTAATCTGAACCGAGAAGGGATCAACATTCTTATAACAGGAATTTGTTCATTTATGACCTGTCTTTATTATTTTTATAAATAACTCAAGGTGGCAAAGATATCTAATATTCCTTCCTCCTCCTATTTTTCCCTGCACAGCAATCTTGTGAGGTGGGTTAGTCTGAGAGAGAGTGACTGGCCCAAACTCACCTAACTGGCTTTCATGCCTAAATGGGACTAGAACTAACAGTCTCCTGGTGATTGGCCCAAAGTCCCCCAGCCAGCTTTCATGCCTAAGGCCAGACTAGAACTCGCAGTCTCCTGGCTTGTAACCTGGTACCTTAACCACGAATATAAATAAAGTTTTTCTAAATTTAGCTTCATTCACACACACACCAACTACCCTGTGAAAATGTCTTAGGCATCTTAAACCACAGTGACATATCCTCATGATTCAGTCTTGGTCATAAAATCCCCAATCCATTGCTCAGGCTGCATTTATCTGAGCCACTTATTCATGCAGCATCTTCTGTCTTCTTTCAACCTTGGCCCCAAGGCAGATCAAGCTCTGACTAGTGATGAAACCCCTGGAATGTAACCATCTGTCAAAAGTCATATCCAGCCCCAGCCCAAATTAAGAAGAGTGACGGATGGATGTTTTTCCTGCCTGCACAAAAATCCACCAGGACTCCTTAAGGAAAATACAGCAGGGCCCCATCATTCACTGGTTTTAGTATCAGGCAGAAGAGAAATCAGTGGATGGGAGAGAGCAAATAATGCTCATTCTTTTGGGCACAGCTGTCAGAATATATCCTTAGTCTACTCCAGGGGTCCTCAAACTTGGCCACTTTAAGATTTGTGGACTTCAACTCCCAGAATTCCCCAGCCAGCCATGCTGGCCACTTGGCCACTTTAAGACTTGTGGACTTCAACTCCCAATTGGCAGAATTTCTGTGGCTAAGCCAAGATTTTGCCATAGTCCTTAAGCGTATCACTGCAGCTGTTAAGTGAATTACACTGTTGTTAACAAATCAACTTTCCCCATTGACTTTGCTTGTCAAAAAAAGCCAGCTGAGGTCACAGATGGTGATCACATGACCCTGAAACACTGCAATCATCAGCTTGTTGCTCCCAAATTTGGATCACATGACTGTAGGGCTGCTGCAATTATTGTTAAATGCAAGGACCAGGCATAAGTCATTGTTTTTAGTGCTGTTTCATCTTTAAATAGTTGCTAATGAATGATTGTAAAACAAGGAGTGCCTGTACAGTTAGCCCTCAACATATGACCACAATTGAGCCCCAAATCTCCATTACTAAACAAGGCAGTTATTAAGTGAGTTTTGCCCCATTTTACCACGTCTCCACAGTTGTTAAGCGAATCACTGCAGTTGTTACATGTGGTTGTTATGTGAATCTAGTTTCTCCCATTAATTTTGCTTGTTGAATGCTGGCTGGGAAGGTGAGAAATGGTGATCACATGGACTTTGGGATAGCGCAACAGTCATAAATATATGCCAGTTGCCAAGTGCCTGAATTTTGATCACATGACCGGGTGTGTTTGCTGAACGGTCACTTTTTTCAGTGCTGTGGTAACTTCAAACAGTCACTAAATGAATGGCTGAAACTGGAGGACCACCTGTAGCGGAAAAGGTATTTTTTTTTTTAGCCAAGGAAGAGAAAATGTTTTTTAAACTCACTGGCTCAGAGATTCATATTCCACCGTCGGTCCTCTGCCTGGCTGTGAATTGGCACAAGTTGGATATGCTCCAAGGCCAGCAGTGATGCAGGCACTCTCAGCGCCATACCAGGTCACATAGTTACGCATGCGGAAGACAAAGGATACCGGCATCATGTAGAAAAGGCGGAAACGGAGCCCCTTTTCGTAGAAGGCAGCATTTTCGACATATTCAGGGGGGAAGATGTAGGAGACGGCCAAAAATGAAGTCGCAAATACAGGCATCATCATCAATCTGTAAAGCAGTGGCTTCCATGTAGGAATTTCAGAAGGATTGGACTGATTCAACCAATCATGATATGTACGATAGCGATAAAATAAGCCTGGGTTTTAAAAACACAGAAAGGAAAGCAATGAAACAAATCAAGATCAGTGAGAGATATCTGCCTAAGACAGGGGTGGGCAATAAATAACTAATGATTGGCCAGCTCAGGAATTCTGGGAGTTGAAATCCACAGGTCATCCACAAGTTGTCATAATTGCTCACCCCTGGTCTAAGATAAGATGCACATTTTAATAATCCAGAATACTGTTGCTCTTTCCACAACCTCAATTCCCTTAATTCAGAACCAGTATCTTGGTTGGATATTATGGGAAACAGCATCCAACATATTTGGAGAGCTTCTATTTTGGAAAGACTCTGTTAAGGTTGTGTGTGACGGGAAGAATGCCAGGATTTCCTAACTGCACAACTCTGTTTTTCTCAAGGATTTGGCAACAGAAACATAATCTCTGCTATTTTATCTTTTTTCTATGCAATTCTCACAAAGAGAAAAAGAAGCTACAAAAAGAAGCTGGAAAATTGATGAAAGATATACAGACTAGTAGAAAGTATAGTCATTTTTTTTTCCTGATAAGCAATGTAGTGTCAAACACACTTCTGTCAAAATACAAGTAGTCCTTGATTTACGACCAGTTGCTTAATTACCATTTGAAGTTACAACAGACCTCCCCAAAGCTACTTATAACCCATTTTCAAAGTTATGATGACCACATGTGCACACCCAGTCACATGACTTTATTTGGGCACTGGGCAACTAGCTGGTCTTTTCTGCTGTTTGCAATGTCCAGCTGAAGATGTAAGCTAGTTGCCAAGTGAATCATGTAACTGGGTTTGTGCAGCCATTGCTTAATGATGTGGCATTCACATAACAACTGCGACAAAAAAAATGTCAAAAATTTGGATCTGGTCATGTGATGCCTCAACTTACAGCCACAGTGATGATCACAATGGCTTAAATTATAGTCATAAGTTGAGGAGGATCTGTAAAAGAGCCCACGCTTACACAAAACGACTAGGCATCACACCAAAATCAACAGACGGCCGACATTAAAAGCAGACCAGAGGGCAAAGCTGGGCATTATTCTTTTTTACCTTGCTCTGATCTCTACCGTTTCCTTTAAAGAGAAGTCTTGTTACGAAGTATAGCTCTTCAGCCCAAGATCTTCTCTTATTGATTACAGAATAATAGAATAATAGAGTTGGAAGGGACCTTGGAAATCTTCTAGTAGTCCAATCCCCTGCTCAAGGAGGAGACCTTATATCATTCCGGACAAATGCCTGTCCAATCTCTTCCTAATAACCTCCAGTGATGGCACACCCACAACTTCTGAAGGCAAGTCTTTCCACTGAATAATTGTTCCAACTGTCAGGAAAGTTCTTCTTCGTCCTAGGTTGAATCTCTCTTTGATAAGTTTCCATCTTTTACTTCTTATCTTGCCCTCAGATGCTTTTGAGAATAGGCTGTCCCTCTCTTCTTTTTGATACCCCCTCATGCTTATATATGTAGTGAAAAAGTGCCAACATTTTAAAGTATCCATAAGCCCATCACCAGTTCGCACTGCTTCGGCAGAACCGGTAGCTAATTTTTTGTTGCTCAGGCCCAGAATCGACTTCCAGAAGTGGCATCCACACAGAGAACCGGTTGTTCACATATTTGAATCCCACCACTGCCCATCACTCATGAGGCTGTCAAAATGAAAATGCACCACTGGGTCTTGTACTTGTAGATATATTTCACTTTCTATTATATAGTTCACCTACCTGTCATAAGTCCCACATAGCAGTAACTGTAGCACAGTATCTCTGCCAATCCAGGTATTTCAGGAATCACACCAACTGCCGGGGACTTGGTACCTGATGTCACTTCCTGTTCCTTCACCTGAATGAATTCTTGCACCTCATTGGCTACGCTCACCATCTGGAGACATCAATTAAAGTATGGGAGGAAGGACTTACTTCCCCTTAACCCAAGAACTCTCCCTACCCTTAACCAGCCACAATTTAGCACCAGCTACCTTGAGGGTGAGCAAAAGTTGCACAGACTTGGTCAGATGTGTTGTCTGGGGAAACTTGAAGGAAGTAAATTTGTGGAAATAGAGCAGGTACAAAAAAGTCCATCCTAATGTCAGAGAATGGGAATGCCTATTTTAAAAAAGAGAACATGTAATGGTTAAGAAATTATCTACATCATAATGTTAAGCATATATATATATACCTCTGTTCTTAAATTCACCTATATTCTAACCAAACATGCATTTTCATATTGTTGAGGTGGGGTTCACACTTGTGTGGGAAGTCACCCCACCCCAGAGAAGGAAATATTAAAAGGGCAGAAAAATATATTTCCTCCAAGCCCAGTTTTCCTTGATAGCCCCAGGTCTCCCTCCCCAAAGCAGAAGCCAGCTCTGTACAAATGCAGATGTAAACCATCAGGAAAGTTGGAGCTAGAAGCTTAGGAAGTCAAAGACACCTAAAATCTGCATACCCCACCCAAATTCTAAGAGTCATTAGCCCCAGCACCAGGGAAGCAGGATATAACCCTTGGGACATAATAAGATTAACCCACCACCATCAAGAATACCAGAAAGGCACACTCAGACTCAGGTCAGAATACGTGACACAGGAAATACAAAGCCTGAAACAGGAACAGTAAACTACTTCAAACAAAAGGCTTCAGAGAGTATAAAAACCTACTCCCCACATGTGTTCAGCCCTCTTTTTTCTCCTCTTTCCTGCCAGAACCATCTGTCGGTCTGGCTCTTCAATAAACTGCAACCTTCTTTCTAAAGCAGTCGTCATGTTGTTTATCCCCGACCTGGATGACCAGGATGAAGACTTTTCTTTCCACAATTGGACTATGCCATAATGTGCATTGTTTGGTTTTGACTTAGCATGGTTTGTGAAAACAACTTGGTGGATTAAGTAAACCCAAGAAACAATGGCTTATTCAATAAGTCTCAAACCATTGATTAGTATCATGTATGAACCAGGTGTCCAGAGAGAACAAGAAGAGGGAAAAGTAACCCTTTTCTGAGCTTCTGGCATGCCAGTCCCTTTGTTAAGCTGCACTTGCTGACATCTGGGTCCCTTCTCCAAAAACTGCCACCAACCCCTTTGCTCAGCAGATCTCTATTTTGGGGTATGTATGATCCTGCTGGATTTCCAACTTTCCTCCCTCCTTCTTGATACATATAGTACACCAGTCCACACCATACAAAAACAACTTTAGGAATACCCAACATCACCTCCTCCTCCACTACTTATAGATGTATAGATGTGAGCAAGATGTTTATTAGACACTAGGCTTGTTACTATCCATATAACACTGAGCCTGATTTTGCCCCTCTCCTCCAGCCAAGACCCTTTAGCAGTGAGCTCACTGCATCACCCCAAATTCATCACAGCAACTGTCAGCCCTCCCAGGTACACCAGACAGGAAACACAACTAGATAAACTAATTCTACTTTAACTTCTCACCACCACTTTTAACTGCTTGGTCCATTAAGAAGAGATTGTCCTAAGTTTTTTGTTTTTCTCTGACCACTAAGCCACTGAGCCTCATGCCTCTCTTCTCTGATTGTTTCCTAGGCACCATTTCTTCTCTTCATCCCCCAAGGTCATCCACACATTCCATCACATCAACACATCCTGCCACATAGGCCCACACCTAAAGAGCTAAAGTTTCCTTCTCCAAAATCCCTGCCCATACGTTTCCCAGGCTCTCTGCTAATTTAATTTAGGATTTAGAACTAGGATCATTGGGAAGTCAAATCTCATTTTGCTTTCAAGTTTCAGTTCATTTTCCTACAGCTGCCCTGCACAAACTTCCCAAACCTTCAAAACTTCCCAGCCTTTCAGACACAAACACCAAAAACATACAGCTCCCTGTAATATTCTGCTTAATCAGATGGGGGTTTTTGGTCCATTTACTTTGGTGAGATTTTGATGATAATCCATGTCCCCATGATGGTGACAAAGGAGTGAATGGTGTGGATGCCACAAGCAGCCAGTGTAAGTCCAAGACCCACGGCAGCTGCCCCATATTTCTTGAACGTCAATCCTACAGAAAAAGAAAGGGAAAGAAATGTCCATCACCAAATATCCAGACACCAGTCTGAGAATTTAAGACCCTGGGTGTGAAAATTAGAAACTAGGTAACAGCCAGATTTGTGCAACAAGTTTATTTTAACGACTTTTGATTTCCCTGAGAGGCTTCGTTTGCTGGGAAACTCAGAGAGTTTGATTGCTTTATGTTTCAGTAATTCATTTTCAGGGAAAATGTGTTAAATCGATAGCCAAATACCGATAGAAGAGAAGATTCGTAGCTGAGGATTGAACTGTGGAATCCTTGGTACTCTCCGAGATTGGTGGTTTTCTTGCAACTTTTTCATTACCAAATTAGGTAACATCATCAGCGCTGGCAATGAAATGTCTGCAAGAGAGCCACCAAGCTCAAAGAGCACCAAGGACTCCACACTAGCCAGGTTGAAGTCATAATCTTTAAAATCTAGAGACAGCAGAAATTCATGAAGATTGTGGCCATCCTCACTCTCTAGAAAAAACAAACCAGTTATCTGGGATGGGAAAAAAATATATCACTGAGTTCTGACTATCCACCACTAAGCTTAAGATTAAGGCCCAGGTGGTGGTCTCGCATGTGATACCAAATGACATGATTTTGGCTAGAATGTGCTCTGTGTGATATGAAATGCAGACATTATGGCCTGTGAATCACACTTTACGATTTAGCTGTATGTCGCTTATTCAAAAGCTCTGACATAAGAAAGCTTTGCATATAACGTGTGAACATCCCCACTGTGGCTTAATTAGCAAGCCATGATTAAAACAAGTCTTTGCTGAGCATGAATAAATCTGGCCACACTGCAGTTTTTATCTGGAATTCTTTTTATTTCTCTGACTTATTTCAGTCTTTATCTGGAATTTTTATTTTTTTAATCCCCAAACCAGATGCATATTGTATCCCCATCTTCCAAGCTCCTGTATCTTGGGAGAGCTGCTCTTTCAAGGCTCTTTCCAATCAGCCCTTGAAAGTCAGCAAGCTAGTGGATAGTCCTGCTGGCCTAAAACCCAGGACAGTTTCCAGTGAAGAGCATAGCAATCTTAGCACTTACCCCTTTTCTTGAAGAAGAAGCCAATGGGAATTGGGAGAAACAGGAATGCTGTGTAAGTAATCCCAACAGATGAAATTGTATCTGCCAAAAGATTCAGAGTGAAGCTAGTTACAGTTACAAATGCTGAAAGTGCTACCATAAACAGAGTACCATTAAGCCACAGCATTGGCCTTAAAGATGATTTTGGTGAAGTGGAAAATAGGAAATGATCCAGCAGTTTTGGACCACAGACAAGCATGATACAGATGTGTAAAGCAGAAAGGTCAGGACTAATCTTGAATGCAACAATTCAGAACCTGATGGCAAGGATAAGGGGCTATTATTTTACTGCAATTATGCACAATAGAATCAAACAATCGTGCTCCCCCACCCCAAATTTGAAACACAGTGTTGTGGCCACAAGATGTAATGCTGAGCTACAGGCTTTGATAGTTTTTAAAACAAGTTAACAAGTTGAGGAAAGTTAATTAAGTCTCCGTCAGAGTGCCATAAGCCACAGCATTGGCCTTAAAGATGATTTTGGTGAAGTGGAAAATAGGAAATGATCCAGCAGTTTTGGACCACAGACAAGCATGATACAGATGTGTAAAGCAGAAAGGTCAGGACTAATCTTGAATGCAACAATTCAGAACCTGATGGCAAGGATAAGGGGCTATTATTTTAATGCAATTATGCACAATAGAATCAAACAATCGTGCTGCCCCCCCCCCCCAAATTTGAAACACAGTGTTGTGGCCACAAGATGTAATGCTGAGCTACAGGCTTTGATAGTTTTTAAAACAAGTTAACAAGTTGAGGAAAGTTAATTAAGTCTCCGTCACCCTGAATTTGGTTCCAGGTGGGTTACACTCTTCCACCCATATGTTTTTCTTGACAATTCTAAGAAAGGAGTTCTGAAATGATCTTCAACTTCCCAATCTAGCAGAGATAACATTACAGAGCAGTGTGTTCCAATCTTGGCAACTTTAAAATACGTGGACCTCAATTCCCAGAATTATTCTTTTAAAAATGTTATAAGGAGTAGAGGTCAGGATGAGAAGGGAACAGCTAAAAAGGAAAGGAAGCAGCTAATTCAAGGCTAACTGCCAAAAGCTGAGTTTGTGGATGTTACCAGGCTTATAAATTAAACAGATTTCAAGAGAGCGGACAAGATTGAGGAGAGCTACAGGCAGCCAAAAATCTCCTCCTGCAGCTTATAGAAATATGCTGTCCCTCTCTGGCTACACTCCAAGTTTGTCCGTGAACAAATATTTTCCTCAGGGCCTCTCTGCCTTTTGCAGCTGAAATGATAGAGAGTATTTTGAAGGGGTGGTCGCATTGCCAGGAAGTATCACCATTTTTCTTTTGGGAAATGACTGCAGGGTGTTGCAAATGGCTGTAAATGTGGGCTGGTTGCCAAAATGTGATCATGTGACCAAGGGAGACATCCTGGCCATCTGAACTTCAGAACTGGATCATAAGTACCTTTTGGAGGGTCCATGGTAACTTTGAATGGTTGCTAAGTGACTGATCATAAGTTGAGGACTCCCTATAACAGGGGTAGGCAACCCAAAAACACTCAAAGAGCCACTTGGACCCGTTTCCCACCAAAAACAAAACACTGGGAGCCGCAAAACCCTTTTGATATCTAAAATGAAGATAACACTGCATATATCCTTTTTTACCTTTATTATAGGTGTGTGTGTGTGTGGGTGTGTGTATTATATATATATATACACACACACACACACACACCTATAATAAAGGTAAAAAAGGATATATGCAGTGTTATCTTCATTTTAGATATCAAAAGGGTCTCTCTCCCTCTCTCTCCCTCCCTCTCTCTCTTTCTGCCCTTGGTCTGCCAGTCCTCTTCCCCCATTCTCTTTCTTTCTCTTTCTCTCTTTCCTCTCTCTCTTTCTCCCCCTCCCCCCTCTCTTTCTTTCTCTCTCTCTCTCTCCCCCCTCTCTCTCCCTCTCTCCAATCTTCTGCTCACCTGGCAAGCTGGCTTCAAGCTGTTCTCCAACAAGCTCAGGGGTAGGCAACCTCGGCTCTTTTATGACTCATGGACTTCAACTCCCAGAATTCCTGAGTCAGCATAGCTGGGCTAGCTAGCTCTCTCCTGCCCTTCCTGCTTCCTGCTTCCTGCAGAGACGCAGCAAAGGGAGGAGCCCTTTTCAGCTTGTCGGAGAACACCTGAGTCCACTGTCTTTTACACACACACACACACAAAGAGAGAGAGAGAGAGACAGAGAGAGAAGCAGGGAAGCGCAAGTGCCTCTCTCTCTCTGTCTCTCTCTGCAAATGGCAGAGGAGGCTGGGAGCCACAGGGGAAGGCTCAAAGAGCCACATGTGGCTCCGGAGCCGCAGGTTGCCGACCTGTGCCCTATAATTACTGTACTGATTTATTTACTTGTCTAGTGTTTCTGGGTGTGCAGCTAATGAGTAGGCTGGCTTGATTGCTCAACAGCAAGACACTGTTGAAGCGGGCACAGCAGCGCCTGCATTTTTTGCGTTGCATAAGAAAAGCCCATCTTCCTTCCCCTGTCCTTACCACTTTCTACAGAGGGACGATTGAGAGCATTCTGTCATATTGCATTACTGTCTAGTTTGGAAGCATCACTGCTTCAGACAGGAACACGGTGCAGAGAGTGGTGAGGATGGCAGAAAAGATTATTGGTAGTTCACTCCCTTCTATCCAGAATATGATATATAAGTGCTGCTTGAGCAAGGTCCACAGGATTGTCTGGGACACTACACATCCTCTTCACAACCTTTTTTCCTTGTTATCTTCTGGAAGGAGACTTTGTGGATTCAGTCACAATTTTGTTCCATGTAGCATCAACCTTGTGAACTCACAACTTTCCTCTTTCCGCTATGTATTCAAAATAGACAGTAATTTATATTTATATGTATATAAATGTATGGGGTATGTCAGTGATGGCAAACCTTTTAGAGACAGAGTGCCCAAACTGCAACCCAAAACCCACTTATGCATCGTCGGGTGCCGGGTGAGTGTGGCCCATTGGCTGGGTGTGGCCCGTTGGGTGGGCGTGGCTGCAGTGGTAACAGCAGATTGGGTGGCACTAAAAGTTTCAATCAATCAATTCCAACTTTGCAAGATCTTTTTTTTTTCGCGCAAGAAGTTGAAATTGACTGATTGATTGAACCTTTTTTTTTTTTTGCACATGGCAGTGAAGGCCTAAAGTGAAAAGGTTTTATAAAACCCAGCTGAAGGCCTAGGACTGGGGCGACGGCGCGCATGCCCACAGAGAGCGCTCTGAGTGCCACCTCTGGCACCCGTGCCATAGGTTCGCCACCACTGGGGTATGTGTATGTGTGTACAGCATGTGTATAAGTGTGTTGTGTATGGGTAGATATATACTTTCTTTTGAGAGCAGACAACCGAATTTCATTTTTAATGTGGGCCGATGTGCTTATAGTAAAAAAATGGCGATAAACACTATCTTCTCAACCTCCGTAACTTTAAAATGTGTGGATGTGAATTCCTACAATGCTGGCTCGGGAATTCACCTTAAAGTCCATACATTGCTAAGGTTGAGAAACATTGCACTGACCAGATTGTTTGCCTATACCAGGGGTCGGCAACCTTGGCTCTTTTATGACTTGTGGAGTTCAACTCCCAGAATTCCTGAGTCAGCATGGCTGGCTCAGGAATTCTGGGAATTGAAGACCACGAGTCATAAAAGAGCCAAGGTTGCCTACCCCTGGCCTATCCAAAAAGGAGGTAATGCACAGCCAGTTGAAAAGGAACCCATTTTAAAATGCCTCCCACTTCACAGACCAATTTATGTAGATTAAAAAGACTCTCAAGCAATACTCAAACCAGTGATGGCGAACCTTTTAGAGACTGAGTGCCCAAACTGCAACCCAAAACCCACTTAAGCATTGTCGGGTGCCGGGTGGGTGTGGCCCATTGGCTGGGTGTGGCCCATTGGGTGGGCGTGGCTGCGGTGGTAACAGCAGACTGGGTGGGACTAAAAAGTTCAATCAAATCCAACTTTGCAATATCTTTTTTTTTCCCCACGAGAAGTTGAAATTGATTGATTGAACCTTTTTTTTTTTTTTGTACACGGTGGCGGAGGCCTAAAGCGAAAAGGTTTTATAAAACCCAGCTGAAGGCCTAGGACTGGGGGGACGGTGCGCGTGCCCACAGAGAGGGCTCTGAGTGCCGCCTCTGGCACCCGTGGCATAGGTTCGCCACCACTGACTCAAACTATCCTAAGTGATTTTTTTCATGAACAGCAGGAGAACTACAGGTAACCCTCAACGTATGACCACAACTGAGCTCAAAATTTGTGTGGCTAAGCAAGACAGTTCTCAAGTGAGCTTTGCTGCACTTAATGACTTTTCTTGCCACTGTTAAGTGAATCACTGCAGTTATTAAATTAATCACACAATTGTTAAGAAAATCTGGCTTTCCCACTGACTGCTTTTCAGAAGGTTGCAAAAGGAGATTACCGGTATATGACCCCAGGACGCTATAACTGTCATAAACATGAATCAGTTGCCCCCAGCGTCTGAATTTTGATCACATGACCATGGAGATGCTGAAATGGCTGTGTGAAAAATAGTCACTTTTTTCACTGCTGTTGTAACTTCGAAAAGTCATTAAATGAACTGTTGTAAGTTGAGGACTACCTGTACAGAGTGATCTGACCAAAATAAATAATCTCAAACTAACCTAGATTGAACAGAGACAGTATCTGAACTGGAAGAAAACAAATATTTCACATTCTTTCATAAACACTGGCATCTAAATGCTTGTACTGTATCACCATGGCTATTTTTATTTCCAAATGTTCCTGCAGAGTCACTTTCACTTTCTAATTTCTGTAAACCAGGCTAAACAACCTGAAGGCCAAAATCAGCACATAACCCACTTTAATCACAAATTTCAGCAATAAAACAATGAGAGACACCTTGTGGTATTTTAAGAGGTGATAAGTTACTAAAATTGTTTACATTTTTTGGAATGAAGATAAGAAGACAGTTACATCTTTATTTCTTTCATTTTCTTTACTATAGTCTTCCTTTTCAATTCCTCTGTTTTCTGTACCTTCTACTCTTGCTTTTTATTCTTCTTTTAGTTTGCATTAGTTTTTACTGTTGTAATTATAATCTTCAGTAACATTACTATAAAAACAGTGTAGTTGGTTGGGGCTTCTCA